AGCCAGCCATGCTGAGGGAAAAGGGAGGGGTTTCCATGCTGAGCCATGCTGGCTCAGGAATTCTGGGAGTTGAAGTCCACAAGTCATAAAAGAGCCAAGGCTGCCTACCCGATCTAGGGAAAACCACCCTAAGCTTTTTAATATTTAAAACAGTGGTTCTCAACCTTTTTAATGCCGCGACCCCAACCGGTCGTAAGTCGAGGACTAAACCGGTCGTAAGTCGAGGACTAAACCGGTCGTAAGTCGAGGACTACCCAACCGGTCGTAAGTTGAGGACTTTCCCTGCCCGGGAGCGCCGCACATGCGTGGTTCCGCCCCCTGCGCTGGCCGAGGCGTAGCTGGCAAGCGGCAGAGACGGAGCAGGCCGACCACCAGCTGGCCCAGCCCAAGGGAGGTAAGGCACCCACCGGAAAAGGGGGAAAAAATGGCGGACAAAAAAAATGGCAGACAAAAAAAATGGCAGACAGCCTTGCTTGGTGACCCCCGTGAAATGGTCGATCAACCCCAAATGGGGTCCCAACCCACAGGTTGAGAACCACTGATTTAAAAGGATCATCCATTTCCTACTGTCTCCTTTTTAGGTAAGACTCACCTGAAGATGATTAAAGTGCTATTGGAATAAATGACCTGAATCTGTTCCCCTCCACTTTGCACTCCTGGTCATTGGAGTGAGGAAGCACTAATTGTCCTAACTGATGTCTTTGATGAGAGGAGTCTGGGAAAGACAGTCCTCTTGGTTCTCTTTGATCTTTCTTGATTGCTTCTGGGTGATATGCAGCACAGAATTAAGGATTTGATGGTACAGATTCCAGAGATTCTGATGTTCTTATTTGTGCATTTTATACAGAATCGAACTTAATGTTTGCCGAGTCTGGCTTTCTACTAGATTTATGATTGCCACATTTATATGTCATATGCCATCAAGAGATTCTTGACACAGCTATTTATGAGTCACATATATTTTGCATGCTATCTTTCTTTAGTTTGAGCATTTTTATTCTATAATATTTTAAAATGTTGTTACGCCGCCTAGAATGACTTTAGTGTAAGATGGCCAGCTATACAAATATAAATAAATAAAATCTTATGTTTTACCTGTAAAAATAGTCATTAAATAAACTGTTATAGGAAATTTCCCTTGAAACCATGCTAAAACGTCCACTCTTCTCAGGGATAAAGGGGAAGGAGAGTGGATAAAATCAGCTTTATTGTCTAGTACAGCGGTTCTCAACCTATGGGTCGTGACCCCATTTGGGGTCGATCAACCATTTCACGGGGGTCGCCAAGCAAGGCTGTCCGCCATTTTTTTTCCCCTTTTCCGGCGGGTGCCATACCTCCCTTGGGCTGGGCCAGCTGGTGGTCGGCCTGCTCCGTCTCTGCCACTTGCCAGTTACGCCTCAGCCGGCGCAGGGGGCGGAACCACGCATGTGCGGCGCTCCCGGGCAGGGAAAGTCCTTGACTTACGACCGGTTGGGTAGTCCTCGACTTACGACCGGTTTAGTCCTCGATGTACGACCAGTTTAGTCCTCGACTTACGACTGGTTTAGTCCTCGACTTACAACCGGTTGGGGGTCGCGGCATTAAAAAGGTTGAGAACCACTGGTCTAGTACAGTGTCACACCCTTAGCGATTTTAATGTATGTGGACTTCCAAGTGCCAAAATTCCACAGCCAGCATGGGAATTCTGAGAGTGAAACTCAAAACAACTTAAAGTTGCGAAGAGTGGAAAAACAGTAGTGGTATTTAGGAAAGTATGTCAGTGCTATTTGTGGATGAAGGTAATAGAACTGTTCACTGCCATATGGGAAAAGTAGCATCAACATTCATGCACTTCACCACTGCTGGGAATCTCAGCAATATTTCAATACTGCAATTATAGCAAAAAATCATACTTGTCCACAGAATGTACAGAGAGCAGCCTTTATGAAGAGATGGGAATGAAGACATTGTAACTGAAGGAAAATATTAGATATAAACCAGTTTAATGACATCAAAGTGAGGACTGCATCTTACCACTAACAATGTTTTTAGTTTTAGAACAAAAAAGAATCAGTTTCTGTCATTCCTGCAATGATAGAATTTGAAGGCAAAATTGAAACTATCTGTATAGTTCAGGGGTAGGCAACCTTGGCTCTTTTATGACTCGTGGACTTCCAACTCCCAGAATTCCTGAGCCAGCCATGAGTTGAAGTCCACGAGTCATAAAAGAGCCAAGGCTGCCTACCCCTGGTATAGTTATTCCCTCAAATATCTGTATTGTTATTCCCAGTAGCAAATCAAATCACTATGCTTACTTGTTATTTGCAGAAACACACAACATGTAATTGGCAAGTTATTATTTTGTAGCACAGAAACATTTAAGACATTTGGAGAAAATGTTCAAAAGCATAATACATGATACATGGCGGTTATTTAGTAAGTACTTAATGCTTGCCGTACTTCAGTATTAATAGCAAATACTTCATTTTATTTAGGATGTACTACTGTAATGATCTTTTGTACAGTAATCTCTATATTTTACTAAACTCCTTAAATTTTACTTTTTCCAGTATTAAAATTAGGAAAACCAATTTTTAAACTTTTGTTTCAATAACTTTTTTTTTTTGCTTTGTGATTAGGCATCTTTTCACATGCATTTGAACTGATTCAGAGTTATGTAGTAAAACACATGGATGAGTAAACTACACTCTCGCTCTACTTCCAATTATTTGAAAAGTATTGCTTACTTGAGTTTGAAATTTTTATTTTTTGTTACACTTTTAAGGGAGGATTCCCCCCCCTCCCATAAGTGCTACCTAGAATAACATAACCTCATCCACTTTGTGGGCAACAGCCTCTTGGGAACAAGCTACCTTCCTCAGGTGAAAAACAAAACCAAATGCCACTCTTGGGCACTAAGAATCTATAATCCAATTTAATGCGAAAATGTAATATCTGATTATGGTATTTAAGTCCATTTTTAAACCAGCAATTACCAGTATTTCAACTATTAGACTACTCCGTGAAAGGAACATTTCTTTTTTTAATTATTATCATCATTCTGCTGTTCATCTTCACATTCCATCTCAATCATCACTGCAGAACCATCGTGGCTTAGTGTAATTTTGCCAGTTATGAGCTTACTGAGTTTTTCAAAGGTTCCACAAAGTTGATTCACTTTGGAAAAAGAAAAGATTTTTGCAAGAGGTACATAGATAATATTTCCCCCGGCCGTTGGCTGCATAATTTCACTATCGGCTTCAGAGAAAGGAAAATCATCCATATACATCTGGAAACTAGATGGCTGAAATTGGGACTCTGTTCCAATAAGACTGCTGCCGTGCTTTTTACATTCAGATTTTCTATAGTCCAGTTGTTTCCTTGCAATTATCTCTGCTGCTCGAAAAACTTCATTGAGTACTGCATTCTGCAAATACTTTTCATCTTTAAGGCTTGGATATATGACTTTGAAAACCTGTCTCAAGAAAAAAACAAAATTCAAGACATTTATATAGCACATCAAATGTTTAAAGCCTTTACATATTTAGCTTTTTAGGACTATATAAACTATACTCAACTTTATGGCAAGTTTACAATACATCATAATGAAGTTAAAACAACTAATTATAGTTTTCTATGTAGACGCCTCTCCCACTTTAGGTGCACAATAGGTACAACTCCTTCCTGAGAGTTCTTCAATGGATGGAAAAACATCAAAGAATACACTGAGTCTTCCTTTTTTAGTGTCTACCGTACCACAATTTAGATTCAGAACCTGACTCTGACAACATTGCTCCAGTTGAGCCTGTGAATTGTCAGCCTCAGGAATCATCAAGCCATGATTCATCTGAGGTTGATCAACGACAGGCATCTCTTGATCAGTTAGAGCTGTCAGATGATGTTACAACCTCCAATCCTCAGCAACAACACTTACGCACCAATGCTACTCAACAAGGTTCCTCATTAGGCAAAGGGCCAGGCCAAAATAATTGCTGGCAACTGCCTGCAGGTAGATTTATGTAGCCACTCTGCCTTTAGCCTTCATTGGGATCAATCGTTCAGAATTCCAGCTCATGATTCTTCTTCCTGTATTTCCTTATTCTTGAATCCTTATTCCAATTGCCATTTGATTGACAGTGACAAATTACCGGTACTTGTGATCACAAATGGGAAACTGCCTGATCTGACAGGAGGTCTTTGTTGCTGTTTGGGAGGCTCACAACATGGGCTTCGGTATCAAAACCTCTCACATAAGGCCGTTCAGATCAAACCGATCTAAGCTAGAAGAAATTACGTCTTTGAACAGAAACAATAAATGCAATTCAGAAGGATTATATTGATTCCAATAGTTTGCTCTATGTGTTCCAGTTACAGTCCAGTTATTTTGGTTTTGCTATGGCAGTGCACTTTTCAGTAACTCTGTGAGCATCAACAGCTGATTGCCCCTCTATTGCAGAAAGTGGTCTCCGAAACTGATGATGAAACATCAAATGCAATCCACTGCAAAAGGCAAAATCATGATAAATAACAAAAGTCTGGAAAAATCATAAAATCTGAACATGAGAAACTTGAACAACAGGCATGAAGGCCCAGACAACGTATGCTCAGAACAAATAAAAAAATCTAGCAATATACAAAGCAGTATATCTTACCTGAAATTCTGCACAAATTACAAGCTTATTATAGTCCATTGATAAAGTAAATCTTATTAAACATGAAACTTATTTCTAAGCAAGTGTATATGTAGAACTATTAATATGCAAGATATAATTGTTTCGAGTAGATTTCTTCTCATTTTTTTACATACTTTACATATAATTTGGGTCTTGGGAACCATCTCGCATTTACAATTATTGTAATGTCCTGCAGACACATGATTGTGATCTTTGACCTTCCGAGTCGCTTCAGATATGCAAAATCAATGGGGGAAGCCAGATTCGCTTAACAACCACATGATTTACTGAACAACCATGATGTTTTGCTTAATGGCTTTGGCAAAAAATGGTTGTAAAATCAGGTGCATCATGTGATGCCTTACTTAATGACTGTGCTAATTAATTTTCCAATCCCAATTTTGGTCATAATTTGAGGATTACCTGTATTGGTAGTAATCTCATTACATCCAAATATTTTGGTTTAAATTATCTAAGAATAACAGTAGTTCTTAAACTCCAGTTGACATATCTAAAAGATTTTCCATCCTCTTGCTTCAAGACATATTTATTTGGAAGACAACCTGAAATCAATTGAACATCTTTTCCAGTAGATATTTTAACATTTACAGCTACCCTGATCTAAAGTGCATTTGATATTAAAGAGGCAGAAGCCCAGTATTTTGATTATTATAATATATCTTTCCAAAATAGTTCCTTCATATCAAAACTGCCCCACCTTACAGAAGCAAAAGGTTTACCTACAGTTTTATAAACTCTTCTCTGATATTCTTCAAATCTCGCAGGCTTGACATTTCTTAGTTTTTTTCTTACAAACACTCCAATTTGAGTACAAAATCCAACATCCTTCCCATGAGGTGGTGCTCCTACTCCAGTAAACTCTACTGTGTAATCATAACGAGTAGCAACATCTACAGCCCTAAATTTATGAGGAAAGAAAAATCAAGAAGTTTAAAGATCATTTAAAGATTTCCATATGCAAAGCCGGTAATCAAAAAAATTGTCTCCCCGGTTTTTCAGTGCCTCTTTTTCGGGGTTTGCTTGTTTGTTTTTTGACAACATAGTTTGAAGCAAATAGGAATTAACTCTTAATTCTGCAACCTCACAAACAGAAAGGCAGCAACTTCCAAAAAGTGGCTGTCCCTTCTTCATACTATTAAACATTCAGCAAACAGCTCAAACCACAACCTCAACAGGATAGTGAACAGGCTTTCACAGATAAAAAGAGAATTTTGGCATGATGAATCTAGGAGGTATGATGAATCTAAAGTAATTCAAGACCCATGAGATGGTATTTATGAATATTACTAGACAAACCCTTTTCAAGATAATTTCATTTATTTCTATGAGAAAGGTTAAGATGATAAATTGCACTTTTGTACGTGTCTTTTAAAATCTGGGTTCCCACAAATATATAAAATGAGTGTGATTGACCTGTTATATCATCTTTAACTTACTTTCCAATCATTGGGGTTATTGCTAAATCAACTAGATATGATAACCTTAAATACAAAACACTGTCATTACTGTGGTTATTTTTTACTGTCACCATTTCAAAAATGGCAGCAGTAAAATATGAGATTGGTCTGATTTCACTTTCATTATTTCCTGCCTCATTTCTAGTCCCAGTTCAAAGTACTGGTGTTAACATACAAACTACATTATCTCGTGGGACTAAATTATTTGAAGAATTTTATTCCCACACATTCCTACTCATACACTATCATCTTTAGGGAAGGTAGCACTTCCCGACTATAGTGAAAAACCCCTAAGTATCTACTATCTCCCTCTCTAGCCCTAGGCCAGGGGTAGGCAACCTTGGCTCTTTTATGACTCGTGGACTTCAACTCCCAGAATTCCTGAGCCAGCCATGCTGAGGAGAAAGGGAGAGGTTTCCATGCTGAGCCATGCTGGCTCAGGAATTCTGGGAGTTGAAGTCCACGAGTCATAAAAGAGCCAAGGTTGCCTACCCCTGCCCTACGCAATGACTTTCTAGTTCTCCCAAGCCTTTTACAATATTTAAAATTAATGTATTGCAAAACAAGGTTTAATGAATTTGACTGCTGTTAGGCTTTGATAGTTTGTATTTTTACTAGTATTGTTTTAATGCCCTTTTTCATATCTGATTTTAAAGCAGTGCAAGCCTGGTTAGCATATAAATTTTTAAAATAAAATAAATTAAAAGCAAGGAAGAAAAAATAACCTTCATACATTCAGAATTATAGTGGCTATTTAAAGCAATGGTTTGTTTTTTCCCGCATCTTAGTTTTACATTAAAATAGCCACCTTTGTTCTTTATTCTTTCAACATAAAACATATCCAAGATTGAAGGAACTTACCAGTTCTGAAATTGTGTTCGATTCCATTCAAATTTATGATCTGGATGTCTAAATAATGATACAGTTGGAAGTAAATAATTGAATTCTGAGTTTGGTGTGCTAATTATGATCATGGCTGGAGACATGAAACCAAACACTACTTCTGGAAATTTCTCAAGCTCTTTTGCCTCTAGGTGTTCTATTCTGTAAGTACAAAGTTGTAAAAAGGATCTTTTTACTTCTCAGATCAACTGAATATATTTACTTCAATATATCACAGGACTTCAATGCAACGGCTATAATTAATTGAGGAAGAGAACAGAATTGATCGCCGATATTCAAACTTTGGACACAGATGGAAAATCAATAGCACAGGAACAAAACCAGAGTAGGACAGAGAGTATCACATTCCTGTTTGCTCTGAATCACAAATTAACTTTAATATACCATACTGCCAGTATAAAAATTGGGGGTTTGTACTTCTTTTACTTCCAGGTCATATTGTCTAAGAAATTAGAAAAATGAGAGAAAACATTCCTTATTTATGAGACTTTGATAAGAACCAGGAAATAGAAACTTATAAACATCCTAGATCAGAGGTCTACAACCTTTTTGGTTTGGCGGCCGAGAAAGGGAGGCAGGCACCACTACGTACACATGCACAAATGGGCTGTGCATGAGTGCATGCACACATGCAAATGGCCGCACATGAGCGCATGTGCACGTGCAAACGGGGCTGCATGGGTGCTGCAAATGGGTCAGCACTAGCGCTGGCGGGATGCTATGGGCGGCACTAGTGCCGGTAGGACGCTCTGGGGAGGGGTGGCGCTAGCACTGGCAGGATGCTCGTAGCGGCACTAGTGTCAGTTGAACCCTTGGGGGCAGCGCTAGTGCCGGTATGACGCTCGGGCAGGGCGGGCGCTAGTGCCAGCAGGATGCTAGGGGCAGTGCTAGTGCCAGTGGGGCGCTTGGGGGCGGGGCAGTGCTAGTGCCAGTGGGATGCACGAGTGGGGTGAATGCACACACTTGTGCATGTGCACTGACCATCCCTTCATGCAGCCCGGTGGCCAAGCAACCGTGGCCCGGTAGTGGGCCGCAGCCCACAGGTTGGGGACCCCTGTCCTAGATAACCCATGATACTTTGAGTCATTCTTTCAGAGATATTTCTTCACTAGTTTCCTTAATATCTTCAACAATGGTAGAACTTCTAATGTTCTACCTTCACTGGAAAAGGCAGGATACATTCAAAGATGTAGCTGAAAACAGCCCATATTGAACTGCATAGCACAGTCAAACATCAGCACAGGAAATGGTTTATGGCATTTTGCATTATGTTATAAACTGTATTATTATAATTTTGATGTCATAAAAGGTTTTATCAAATTTCCCCAATTTCAATTCCACAAGAGCCATGGATCCTGGATTTTGGACACATTCTATAAGTCAGCCCATCTGACGTATCTTGGAGAAAAAACTGTTGCCTTATGATACACTGTTTCAGTCAGTTATAAGAACAAGAGTTTTAGTAGTATATATATAAAGAAAATTGTGTTTTTAGCCATCTGAGTTTGCTTTTTAAACATTCATCAACTAATATGAAGCCTCAAAGGAATACCCACAGTTCAATGCAGGTTACCATATCAAAGCCCAGCATACAAGGATCTTTGTGAGCAACCGAACCCTGAAGGAGAGTGACTGTCAGCTGTTTTTCACTTGGCTGAAGATAGTCACCAGGAAGGGGAGACAGCCTATACCTGGAAGCAAATAAATTGCATAGAATGAAAGCATTGTTTTGTCTATACATCTCCCCTTTTCATCTTGGGTCTCCTGTAAATTGTGAATGTATAATCCAGCTCCAATCATTTAACATGAAAAAAGACTATGCAAATAAAAATTACTTGAGTTTTAATAATCTCCTCCATCCAGTACATTGTAGGTACAATCTGAATGTTTGGCTGATTTATGAATGACATGGATACTGATTCTTTGGATACCAACAGATCCCCTCGGTCTATCGCCATATTTTTTGTGACATATGTTGGATTACTAATATATTGAATAAAATATTCTTAATTTGTGGACAGTTAATAGATTTCATATGGCATTATTTTTGAGACTACTGTCCACTTAATTATTTTCCTGAGAGGAATGTAGATTGATAGTAAGTTTCCCTTGCTCATTAAAAATTACAACATGAGCAAAGTGCAAAAATGGTATTATCAAGAAAGCAAAAATGTTTATATATTACTTTTTTATTAATTGTGCTAGAGAACTTGATAGTTATGAAATGCATACTAGATTGTACATGTGAGAAAGATCAGAAACAAATGACCACATTCTTTGTTCCCCCAACTCCAAAATGTTGTAATCAACTCTCAATTAAGCACTGACCTATCATATCAATATTTTTAAAGAATACTTCAGAAATGGAAAATAGAATTATGTTTCATTCTGCTCCTTCTTGGGAGGGAGGGAGGGAGGGAGGGAGGGAGGAAGGAAGGAAGGAAGGAAGGAAGGTTGATTTGGGGCACAAAACTTTGCTTTCCCCAAAATAACTTACACATTCAACTTACATGTTTTCTTTCATCACCTCTTCACTGATATCTAGCCCAACAAGTTCTTCAATACAGTTGCAGAATTTCAGCATCCACAGTAGGTTACAACCAGCACATCCCAAATCTGCCACCTTTAATTTGAAATTAATACAATTCCTAATATCACTCATAAGACTTGTTTAACACTGTTTTCTTATCTAATGAAAATGACTGCTGATTTAATGCTAGGTTTGATTAGAGTTAATTATATGGTAACAAAGGACTGTGATCTATAGCACTGGAAAAAAATTTATTGTAACATTTTTAAGGGGACAATATCCTTATTACTACTTACATTTATACAGCAAAGGTATGCAAAAATCACCATGTATATATTAGCAAAACTCATCAATAAAATATTGCACATGTATATGACTCCTAAAAATGAATCTTGTTTACCTAAAACCAGATCAAACATCTCTAATTTGGTATGTTCACACATCCCACTAAGTAATTATTATTTTAGCCCAATTAACCAAGTGAGCCATACTATGCCATGAACCATGTAATGTGGTTTGTTTTTACTATAGCAGGCTATGCAACTGCAGCTTCTATGACTTCTAAAACCAGAGTTTATGGCTTTGCAGGTTATGAATGGACTCAACTGTGGCTTTTCAATAAACTATAATCAGGCCAACAACAGCTTACTTGTGACTACATATTATATAATTTAACTAGTATCCTTTGTTTTTCTGATCTGAGTAAGGGTCTACTGTTTTATTGAAATGCTTTTTCATAACATCTGCTTGAATAATAACCATATTTAAAATGTACACTTCTCAGTGCTGTGATTCCCAAACTGTGTATTGCAGTGCCTTGGAGAACCATAGCAGGATATTTTACTAAACAGAACTGTCTGTTCTGGAGTATTTGCAGTGCAGAGTTTGGGAACTGCTAGGGATTTCATGAAATAAGAAAGTTTGGGAATCTTTACCTTAGCATAAAAAATACTAAATACTAAAACAAATGCTACAATTTATACTCTTCATGACAAATACATAAATCTTCCCTATAGTAGTTGTTTAGAGTCTCCCTTCTTCTTCTTCTTCTTCTTCTTGTGCCATATCCATTATCGGACATTGGCGATCATGTTGGCGATCCTGTTTTTATCAGCAGCCGCACGAAAAAGTGCTGCTGAGTTTTGTCCAAACCAGTCCCTTAGATTTTGAAGCCACGATGTTCTTCTTCTGCCTGGACCTCATTTGCCTTCTATCTTTCCCTGGAGGATTAAATGGAGTATGCCGTTTTTTTCTGGGTGTCGCATCACATGTCCGAAATATTCTAACTTTCATTTTTTAATTGTTTTGATGATTTCCCTTGGGTTTCCCAGGCGGCTTATCACCTCCTCATTTCTGATCTTGTCAACCCAGCTTATACGTAACAGCCGCCTGTAAATCCACATTTCAAATGCTTCTAGTCTCTTTAGGTGGCCTTCTGTCAGAGACCAACTCTCTACTCCATAGAGCAGGATAGAAAAAATACAGCATCTGACAAGCCTGATTTTCAAGCTTAGGCTTATGTCGTGACTGCAGAAGACCTTTTTCATTTTGAAGAATGCTGTTCAAGCTTTCTCTATCCTTATCTTTATTTCAACGGTCATGTCCCAGCTTTCATGTAAATTGGAACTGAGGTGCGTGATCCTTTCAACTTTTTCTAGTGGTATTCCTTCCGAATTTATTGGTGGTAAATTAACAGGTTGTTTGCTGATGACCATGATCTTGGTTTTTGAGGTGTTAAGCTTCAAGCCGTATTTTTCAGATATTTCTGTAACTCTGTTGATGAGGAGCTGAAGGTCTTCATGCTTACTGGCAAGCAGAACTGTATCGTCAGCATATCTTAAATTGTTGATCCAAACACCGTTTACTTTGATGCCAGCATCGATATTCTCCAATACCTCATTGAAGATTGACTCAAAGTAGATATTGAACAACAGCGGAGACAGAATACATCCCTGTCTCTCCCCTCTTCGTATTTCTGCATCAGCTGAATATTTTTGGCCTAGTCTCACATTTGCTACCTGATGCCAATATAGATTATGATTTGGATGTCTTTGTCATCTAGTCCCCATTGTTTCAGGATTTCTAATAGTTTGCTGTGTCTTATTTTATCAAATGCTTTTTCAAAATCAATGAAGCACATGTGAACACTGTAACTGACATCTCTACAACATTGTACAAGAACTTGAATGCTGAATAGCACATCTTGTGTACCAAGATTGTTTCTGAAACCAAATTGTGTATTACCTAGACACTCCTCAATTTTGTTGTATATTCTTGTGTGAATTATTCTCAGGAATATTTTCAGGGCATGACTCATTCAGCTTATTGTTCTGTATTCGGTACACTTCTTTGCATTTATTTTTGGGGAGATTGTCACAAAGGTTGATTTTAGCCAATCATTTGATATCTTTCCTGTTTCACATATTCGATTGAAGAGCTACAATAAAAAATTCTTCCCATTGTCTTCCAGCAATTTTAAAATTTCTACTGGGATATCATCAGGTCCTGTGGTTTTTCTTGTTTTTGCTATTTTTATTGCATGTTCAACCTCCTCCATAATGATGTTTGGTCCAGTTGTTATACTTCCCATATCTATATCATCCCTAATGTCCTCAAAAAGTTCTTCAATATATTCCTTCCATCTTTTTAGTTTTTCGTCCTCATCTAAAAGAATTTTTCCCTTTGTCAACTAAGTTTTTTTTGTAGAGACCTGCTGCTTCTTTCACTTTTTTGTGTAAATTGAAATTATCATGCATACATTCTATCACTTCTATTTCCTTGCATCTCTTTGCAAACCATTTTTCTTTTGCCTGTCGAATTTTTCTTCTAATTGTTTTCTGCAATGCATTGTATTTTTCTTTGTTTTTATTTTTATAAGATCTTCTTTCATCCACGAGATGAAGAATTTCCTCCATCATCCACTGTTGTTTCTTGTGGTATCCCTCTCTATTTTGAATTTGTTACCTTTACTATTGCATTTTTAAATTTATTCTAGTTCACTTCTACATCTTCATCATTTAGGTTGTTGGTTTCTCTTAAATGATTTTCTAGTTCTTCTTTTATCTTACCTCCATGTTTAATGCTGAAGTCTCTATCAATTCTTGGTTTAGCAGGATTCGGGTTTTTCATCCTTTTTAGTTTCAGCTGGACTTTGGCAAGTAGTAGATTATGATCAGATGATACATCTGCACCTGGGTATGTCTTTACTGATGTTACTGAGTTTCTAAATCTTTTGTTTATTGTAAAATAGTCAATTTGGTTCCTTACTATATTATTTCGTGTATCTGCTAGTGATCTCCAAGTGCAGAGGTGTCTTTTTGGCAACTTGAAAAAAGTATTCATCACACATTGCCTATGTTCCTTGCAGAAGTCTACAAATCTGTCACCTCTACCATTTCTGGTTCCTAAGCCAAAGTTTCCAACTACAGGAGCATCACTTCCTTCTCCCACTTTTGCACTGAAGTTCCCCATGAATATTGTGATATCATTACTTTTTAGGGTTTTCAGTACATTGCTTATATCTTCATAGAACGTCTCTAAATCCTCCTCATCACTGTCAGCTGTGGGAGCTGTGGGAGCGTAAACTTGTATAACATTCATATTTACTGGAGTACTATTTATTTGGATCATCATCACTCTATCGGATACAGGAATAAAAGACTTGATGCATTTATTTACAAGATTGCTTACGATTATAGGTACTCCATTTTGATGGTGTTTGCTATCCTCACCAGAGTAGTAGATAGTATAATTTCCTATTCCACACTTTCCATTTTCAGGCCAGCACATTTCACTCACTCCCAATATAGAGATATTGTATTTGGACATTTCTTGGATAGTGTTGTGTGTTTTCCCAGCTTTGTATAGGCTTCTCAGATTCCAAGTACCAATTTGTAGTTTTGAGTTTATCATGCTTCTAGCGGACCGGGAGATTCTTAGCACCCCTGCCCCATTTAAGGGGCGCCTGTACTCGGAGCCATTGTTAGGTTTTGCCACCATTAACATGATTTTCCGGGAAAATATATGGTGTAGTAGTCTTCCCTTTGCTTTCTACACCGCTGTGACACGCTGTTCAAGTGGCTGCCACCACACCATGTGCTGTTCTTCTGAAGCCGTTCCAACCAATATGGTCTCCGCCTTCAGTCGATACTGGGGATCCAGCTGCCACTCACAAGGCAGAGTCTCCCTACAGTATTACAATTCCTAACTCATTTTTTTAAACTCTGTTTTATCCCAGCAAAGTAATAACTTTAAGGATAAGAGTTCTAATGCAGTCAGCTATACTGACAAAAATTGTACTAGGAAACACATACTAACCTTTTTAGGTTTATGCTTATCCACCAACTGCTTAATAAAAGCATAACGTTGCTTATACAATGGTGGTGTAAATGTAGTAATCCTCACAAGGTCATCTTTTTTCATTGTTACATCCATATTCAAAACTAAGAACAAAAAAGAGCATTATTTAAATGCTATACAGGTAGTTCTCGATTTATAACAATTCAAAATTAACAGCACTGAAAAAGTGATTTATGATTTTTTTTTTTCACACTTACGACCATTGCAGCATTCCCATGGTCATGTGATCAAAATTCAGATGCTTGGCAATTGACTCATATTTATGACAGTTGCAGCAATCCAGGTCATGTGATCACCTTTTTGACCTTCTGACAAGCAAAGTCAATGGGGAATCTAGATTCACTTAACAATCATGCTACTAATTTAACTGCAGGGATTCACTTAACAATTGTGGCAAGAAAGATCATAAAATGAGGCAAAAATCACTTAACAAAGTCTCACTGAGCAATAGAAATTTTGGGTTCAATTTTGGTCATAAGTCAACAACTGCCTGGAGTCTCAGAAACTCTTGTGCAAATTGAGATCTGAGTATATTTCATGGCTATATAAATTACATGCATACATATATACAAATATCAAAATTTGCTTTCTTTTGATTGATCATTAGTTATCTAAATTTCTCTCACATTCTTTTTTCCTATGCAATTTATCTGCAAAATAACGTTTGAACTTATTTATACATGTCGTGAATTAATATTGAACTTCTTTGGAGATATTTGACAAGATTGGATCATTGATTTTCATTTTCTGTATCTAGCTAGGCCTTTTATTCTACAACAGAATAAAGGTAAGCCTTTCTCTTCATGGTACCCTCTTTAAAACAATTGTGAATCAGAAGAAAGAAAAAGCAAGGCTGGGTTTTGGACCTTTTTCCTTTTTTAATTACTTTATTAATGATCTGGTATATGAACTAAGGGAACTGTATTTTTTCCTCCCTCTATATGAGAAAGGAAGGTTTCACTTTAGCCCTATGAAGATGATATTATTTTGTTTACTTAAGCTCAGAGAGTTGGTTATAGAATAACAGTTGGTTATAGAATAATAATTATGATGAATCTAAATTTAAAGATGAAATGCCATACAGCAGGGGTGTCAAACTCTCCACGTCACGTGATGTGTTGCGACATATCACAACTTTTTCCCCATTGCCGGAGCTGGGGTGGGCGCGGTTTCAGCATGATTCATCTGGCCCGCAGGCCGGCAGTTTGATACCCCTGCCATACAGTAATAGCCAAAATAAAATTGAACAAAATTCCTTGTATCACTTGGAATTTTCAGTGGTTTAGGTTGACTGAATTCTAATGTAAAAGCACTAAACCTAAAGACTTTGGATTTTTGATCACAGAGCTAGAAGTGGTGTCCCCTGAAACACAACCCCTAACTTACATACAGCCTGGCTTCCTCCATTCTCAAGACACTCCTGCATTTCTTAACTGGGACACCTTCCACTTAATGATCTGCAGATTTGGAGTTAACAATTGGGGGTGTTACATTTTTAAATATCTTTTTGGTATTTCATCATTTTCTGTAAGTAACTCTTGAGCCTAAAATATGGCATAGTTAAAATAGATTTATCCTCTATATTTGGAAGGGATACCTTAACTGATAATGTGTGTATTTACAGTTAAATTTGATTATGGTTTTGTAATCACATAAAGCTCTAAAACAGGTGTAGGATTAATAGAAATTTAAGTTGGAAATAGACTATTTTAAATATATAAGCTACTTGAGGGAAATAGAGAGGGAATTTTTGATGTACTGATTGAGTTACTTATATATGCTTTGTTTTTGAATTTTTGATTGCCTCAGCACCACGGTGTGTCTCGAGCACTTTGTATTAAGAACTAAAAAAACTAATAAAATTTGTTTTTTTAAAAAAATAGATTTATCCTCCTTCATCTCTGTAAGCTAATCTCCAGACCTTTCTCATCTACTTGCCACCTGGGTCTCCTCTTTTCTATTTTATAACCCCTTCTATTTCCCTCCGCCCTCTATCAGAGAAATAAAATCATCCAAATTGTGTAACCATTCCCCCTTTGTCATGCACTAGGATTTTATCTATAATCACAAGCAAGTTAATGTGACTATTTTTTCTAATCTGAACTCTTAAAATACAAACCATTTACACTTGAAGACTGGGTCCATTTTATATCACTCTCGCAATAATCAATTTCTTCTCTTAACGGCTATAAACACTGTGTCAACTGTGTGGCCAAGTGCAGCAAATTTGCCAAACTTGACAATTATTTCTATGGATGGAAACTAATCAAGGAGAGAAGCAACCTAGAACTAAGGAGATTAACCAGTGGAACCGCTTGCCTTCAGAAGTTGTGGGTGCTCCAACACTGGAGGCTTTGAAGAAGCCTCCACTTGTCTGAAATGGTATATAGGATCTCCTGCTTGAGGAGGGGATTGGGCTAGATGACCTCTAAGGTCCCTTCCAACTCTGTCATTCTATGTTCTATGAGATTTTACCACGAGTGGTAGGTCAAAAAAAGGGAAAGTAGCTAATGCAAAGGTTGAGAGATTTTAGTGCTTCAATAACTTGTTGAGTCACAATCAACAAGGCATACCACGGGCCCGATTTCAGATGTCTTTATCATTCTAGTTTTCAAAACCTGTGCGCTTTTTTTTTTTTAAAGGATTTTTTAATATTTTTTTAAATAAAAAAAGCCTCAGTATAGGGCGTTTAAGACCTTACTAAAAAGCTAAAATAAATGGTGTTAATGTAGTTTATTTTTATTTATAATTAGTAATGTTATAATTATTGTGTTTAATATGTTTGCTTAAAAGAGAGTTAAAGGATGTTATAGATTTGTTAATCTAATAGTGATTAATGTTAGACAGAGTATGGTTATTGTATNAGGTGGGGTTGGGGAGGGGGGGAGGTATATTGTAAAACTTTTATAAAATTTTCAATAAAAAAAAAAAAGCTAAAATAAATGCCTGAGTTTGCACACCACTTAAGCCTGCGCTACAATTTAAAGTTCACAATTAGTCTCCTAATTGTGCTTGACGAGACGAGACCATCAACAGTCCGAGCTGAGTTTACCCAGAGCCCCTCGGCTAACATATGGGGCCAACCTAATTGCAATTTCAGCTGTCCTGCAAGCACAGCCACAGGATACAATTCAGCCTTCTTCTCAATTAATCCAACGGCATTCTCTTCCTACATTAAACGCCAGGCTTCGCCTATGTGGGCGGTTGGGTCCTCCTCACCCTCTCCCAATCCCCAAGCACACTTCGGCCTCGCGCGCTCTCCGAGCCCAACCGAAGGGACGCCGCCCGATCCTCTCTTTTTTTTACTCCTCCTCCTCCTCCTCTTCCGAGGGGTTTCCGAGCTGTCTTCGGAAGGCGACGCAGAGAGACGGCCCAAAGACCGCCTCTCCCAGCCCCCGGCTGCTATTGGCCGTCTCAGTCCCGGAAGGAATTTTTTTTTGGCGGGGGGGCCATTTCCTCGGGAGCCGCCATCTTGTCGGCGGTTGGCGGAGTTGGTCTGCGTTCAAGCTGGAAGGCTTCAGCCCGCCTTTCTCGCGCGGCCTAGTCGCCCGCTCCTTTGGCGCCAGCGATTTGTTTTTCGCTATGGCCAATAACTGCCCCCTCGTGGGCCCGGGCAACTGCCATCCGCTGCCGCCGCCGCACCAGCACCAGCACCAGCAGCAGCACCAGGGGATCCTCCTGCAGCAGCAGCAGCAGGCCGGCGCCGTTTTGTCGCCCCCGTTAGCGCTCCAGAGCGCCGGGCCCAAGCCAGCCGCCTCGGGCAAGCAAGGCAACGCTTTGCCTCTGTGGGGGAATGAAAAGACCATGAACCTAAACCCCATGATCCTCACCAACATCCTCTCGTCCCCTTACTTCAAGGTGCAGCTTTACGAGCTGAAGACCTACCACGAGGTGGTCGACGAGATCTTTTTCAAGGTAAGCAGGCGACGGGGAAGGCAATAGACCAGTGTTTCTCAACCTTGACCATTTTAAGGCATGTGGACTTCAACTCCCAGAATTCCACAGCCAGCATTGCTGGCTGTGGAATTCTGGGAGTTGAAGTCCACATGCCTTAAAATGGTCAAGGTTGAGAAACACTGCAATAGACCAACTGGAAAGCAGGACCATACTAAGGATCCTCGAAACAAGCCTCTCGGTCAGGCCAGGCCTTCTACTTGGGTGGCCTCCCTTCCCACTTCCTTCTGAAAGAAAGAGGCTGGGAAAAAGACGCGTGTTCTTCCCCTCCTTCCCACCTACCTCCCCTGTCTCGAGTTCAACGAAGGAGGCCCTACACCGGTGTGTTTGTGCCAAAGGACCAGTTACACCTACAAGACGTAGATGTAAACCTCTCGACCTAATTCCGAATCCCAATTGTGTTTGTATTATTTGGGGAGGGAGTGGATGGGTCGGAACAAATGATCCCAGATTTATTTCTGTATTGAAAACTGAACTCTTTGGGAATGTTCTCGGTAGGGAAAATGAATGGAAGGGAACTAGTGGTTAATACCATTTTCATTCCATGCTGCTTCTGCACCTCTAAAAGTGAGAGTGAATTTTACTTTTATTTTTCCTCCCAGAAACTCAGGATAGTATATATTAGAATCTAATTTTATAACGGCTGGGAGTAGTAGTTACCCTGAGGAGTAATGACTACATCAAGCTGCGCGATGAGTTTAATGGAGGCATGAGTTCCTCTAAAATTCTACTTATCTTTACCAGATGTCCCAGTATATCATTGTGATTAACCATTATTTATTGTTTCATTTTTGTAACTGCTTCTCTGGGGAAAAAAGCACTAATGAACTTTGTGAGACTTGGTTTTATTTACATACGGATAAGATTATACTGGTAATTCTAGCATACCAGTAGATACTATCATTCTGTTATGGCTAGCTGGACACTGCATCTTGACTGACTTTACTGGCCTTGAAAAACAAAACACTGACATTAAAATTTAGATAGTTACTAGGAAACATAAACAAAACTAAACCAGAAATTCAAATAGAAAACAACAGTCCCAGAAGAAATACCAAGCCACTTATCTTTTTGCAAGAAAACCTGTCCACAAAGTCACCAGAATGAATTTGAACTAACCTTAT